TCGGGTTAATGATTGGGATCTTTCTGGATATCTTTTTTCGAATTTTGACCCCAGAACTCCCAAAAATGCCCTACTGTCTACCTTACTTCAATCCTGTACGGTTTTCTGTCATCGATCTTATGCATTGTCTCTTTCTAGGAATCACAAAATGGATAGTAACAAGACTATAGATTGAAGGAGGAAAATTAACATTAACAGAGCTAAATATCATGCAAAAGAGAGCTAGCTGAATACAAGTACCAGCAGATATCAGCAGACTTCCTTGCAAAATAAATATAGGTGTATATTTTTCCAGGTTTTCTGCAGACTAATGGAAGACGTTCGTATTAATATATATGATATCTATTACCTGAGATCTTCTAAAGAAATCTGACCAAAAAATTCTGATAAACTTTGTTCATGTCTGTAGTATTTTAATATGTAGAATAGTATTAAAGAACGATCTAATAGAAGTTCATCAGCGTTTAGTAGAAATGGTTAAAGAAATTGAACAAATATACGGCCCTAAAAAAATTTCTTCCAACTTACATTTGTGTATGCATTTATGTGAATGCATATTGGATTATGACCTCTTGTATGCTTTTTGGTATTACTCTATAGAACGAATGAACAGATTGCTAGGTAATCACCTGATTGAAATTATCATTTAGTACTAGAATCTACGGTACTAATATTTGAATACTTTTTTAGGATTATTTTATAATAGCCAGAGAAACATTGAACTAGAGCTTATGAAAATAATCTAATATAACGCTCTCCTAGATGAATTAACATCCCATCATGTCGAATAAAATCAACCACTTTGAGAAAGCCTTAAATCGTTAAAGTCTAAAGATCTATCTAGAAGCCTTTCTGTATATGATAAATATACCGATAAAGAATATCAGTTATTTTGTTTATTTTTAAATATAGAAGATGGTGCAGCATTCAGCTTTGAATCATTCTCAGAATCTTTTTTAAAACCACTAAAAAGAAATGTCATACCACAGAAAGATTTTCAGCAATTATTAGCTGAATTTTATTGTAATATATACAATAAAGAGTTTGTGGCATTATTACACATTCATAATACTCTGAAAGATTCTATTCCTGTTCTTCCGAATATTGATCAATTTGATCGATTAAGAATCAGAACAGAAATATTCGGTTCAACTTTATCCTCTCGTCATACTAGTTCAGCCAAAATCTTAGCTCGTTTCATCTTGAGTGATGATACTTTTGACACATATCCTGGTCAAATTCAGTTCTTCTTTGAACATATGGTTTATCTACCAGAAGCTAGAACACATCACTTGGCATATGTAAGATGGTATAAACCAGCAGAAAATCCTAAAATTAGATTTCATTGCCAAGTGGCTGATGATGATAAAACTTGCAATATCGAATTATGAAAATTGGAATTTTACGAAGTAGAAATAGACTGTATCATACCCATTTACAATATCTTATGTAGATTTATTTCGGGGTGTTTTGAAATTGGTCAAAAAAATCAAGAAAGTATATGTTGATTATTCCAATAAGCAGAAGGTTTCATATTTAATTAGCGGCGTGTGAATTTTTTTTTCTTTCTCTTTTATTGTTACATTTTACCATATACATATTGTTACATTTTTATTGTACTACATATTGTTCTATTTTAATGTGTTACATTTTTATTTGTAGTAGTTATTGATGTATTGTATTACAGCCGCAGTTCAATTGATTAATTGAGTTAATTAAGTGTTATATTTTCAAATTATGAGATAATTGCGTTACATTTTTGAATTATCGTGAGACACTAATTGTGTTACATTTTGGATTATCGTGAGAAAACTGTTATGCTAATTGTGTTACATTTTTGAATAGTATATCAAACTATATAGTTATGAACACTAGTGATTTTCGAAAAGGAGGATTCGGAGAAGTTCGTCGTGTAAATTATAAAAACTATAATCAAAATTCTGCATTAAAATCTTTTTTTCGAATGTGACGAAGCAACTGTAAAAGTGATCGTTTATGAGTAATGTAATATTAAAATAATATTAGTAATATATATTTACAATGCTTTTATATTTATCGTTATATTTATTAGAAACTTTTATTTTTTTAATCGAATTTTTTGTCAGCTTTATTATAATAAATACGGAATATATACCTTACAATGTTAAAATAAATATAAATGTCCTAGTGGTTTGGGTGGTGTTGTTTGTGAAATTAGATCCTCGGTTCAGTTCTCAAGGTAAGCAAAAACGAAAAAAAAAAATAGATAACA